TGTCTTTATCAACACCTTTTTTCAAGAAAACCCACTCTCAATTTCCTCTCAATTCTTTTTAGCCCAAACTCATTGTAAATCCTCTTACAGAGCTCTAAACCTTAGAACCCTAATAGCTAATTTTCTAAATGCTAAATTCATAGTATAAAAGCCTGTAGAATGGATTTCTCAATCAATAGAAGAACGAATTTGGGTTTAAAGCGGAGGAGCGCTTAGAAAGACTGCATAATATGTCTATTCACCAAGGTACCATCCTTATCATGTTACCATTTTGGCATTTTTTTACCTTGTATCTTTTTTTCTTGCTGGTGAAGTCACCCAAAAACTTCAATGGTTTGTTGCTTTATATTGGATTCTGGAAATTATGATGATTTTAGTGTTTTGATTTGTGAATAAGATTGAAAATGAAAACCAAATATTCATAAGACCAAACGATGGGTTTCTAATCAAAATCATTTCCATGGTCAGGGCATCATTTTTCAGTGAAATTAGCATTAGACACTAAGTTATATTCATATTCAATTTTTCACAACTTTTTCTCTATGGTAAAAGCAAGTTTGTGCTCTTAGTATTAATGGCGATTGGAATGTTAACATTGACTTCAAAATCAAGGTTTCAGTTCAATAGATAACTTCTCCGGCCAATTACCATCTTCATCTGCACTCAAAACCCATTTGCATATGATTAAGAATGTTTTAGTATTTGTAAAAAAATAATATTTTGGTTCAATAACTTTCTTAGATTAATAAAGTATGTTTGTTTTTTTATGAAAAATAGTTCTTAGTAAGAATTATATATGCTCATGGATGTGGTGGATGTTAATCATATAGACCTGCAAGTGCTTGTTCTGTTTTAGTTATGGCATGGGATATGACTCCTTTTATTATGGTTGCTGGTTTTTTAGATTTGCAAGATAAAATATGTGATCAAGAGAGAAAGATTTGATTTGTTTTGAGATAGGATCAGTAGTCTTCCAGACAATTTAATAATCAGAGTTCCACCTTTCTTTAGAAGAAAAGACATTGTGAAAATGAGTTTCTTGTCAAAGAACTGGAGGCACAAATGGAAGACTGCCCCGATTATCTCACTTAGCCCTCACTCCTTGAACAATTACCGTCAACTAAACAGCATATCCACATATATTATGTCTCTCCACAGAGGGTCTCTAGAGAAATTTGCACTTTGGGTAATGAAAAGCTACTGTGAAATTCATTTGTGGATGTATTAATTACTATCCATGAAAGATATTGGGGATATTCTTGATGGGGATTGTGGAGGGTAGTGGCCTCAGAATGCCGCCTCATCATTTTTCATGTCAAAAGCTGAGATGTTTGACACTTAGAAAATTTCAGATCAAGCCCCCACCTATTTTCCAAGGCGTCCCTAATCTTAGTACCATTCACTTTTATAGTGTTGATGTGGAACTGTGTGTTCTTCAGAGCCTTATCACCAAGACCCTACTAGTCCATAGCTCACAAGTTTGTTATTGCTAAAAATTAGTACAATGGGAAGCCTAACAATCAAAGCCCCCAATCTAAAGGTATTTTGATTTGAAGGAGGGCTTGAACATATCAGTTAATTTCCTCACCCTCGTTCTTTGTGATTTTAGTATTAAATTGAAAGGAAATAAGATCAAGCCAACAAATTAGCTTGAGAAAGGACTCAAAATAAATGAGTTTCCACTTGCGTTTGACATTTTAAGGTTGGACACTGAATTTTGGAAGGCAACATACATATGTACGACGTTTTGTTTCTTGCTTGATGTGTTTCTCTATATTAGCCATGTTTTTGATATGTAGCAATTTGTTTCTCGTGGCATTGTTCCTGAATTATTTCCAGTTCTTGGGGTTATAAAATAAAGTGCAAGCAAAACCAACTGTTTTAAGTCACCTGACCTGTCTTGATACAGATAAAATATGTCTCAACGATGTAGATGAGATATCCTGCTTCATTAACTTTGATTGGATACACCCCAACTTGAAAACGCTTCATATGAGGGTAGCTGCTGCATGTTGTCATAAAAAGAAAGTTTTTGCCACTTTTGTTTTGGATGCTTAACTCTCACAATAATAAGTTCCTAATCTTGTCTTTACTCTCTCTAAGCTTGCAAGGATGTGCATACTAACTTGAAACCAGTAGAAGAATTTTGGCAATCTCAGGAAGCCCTGTTGAAGTAGTATGTTCCCTTGTGAATGTAAATTAAGATCCCACATTGAAAAAATATAGAAAGAAAGAGTGGCTTATATATGTGAAGACCCATGGAACTAATAGGTTAGTTTGTTGGTTCCAATGTGGTGTCGAAACATGTAATGGAAGTCTTTTGGTTCCAATGTGGTGTCAAAACATGCAATGGACCACTCAATGTCGCTCCACTAAACCATATATCTCCCCAACAAGCCTGAGTTTGTTTGCTTGGCCAACTTAGAAGAGTGATTATTAATGGTTTACATGGCGAAGATCCTAAGTTGAAATTGGTTCAATTTTTCCTTACAAAGCTAGCTTTGCAGGGGGAGATGACTATATTTCCCTCCCACTAGGGATTTCAATTATGATGATAAATTAGTGTTGATAGAGCTTACCCGTTTCACAGGGGCATCATCAAAGGCACAAATTATACACTCTAAATGGTACTCCCTTGGAGACTTAAGGGTATGTATAAAGGTATGTATGGGACTTGTTAATAAGATTTTAGATTTTAATACTTGCAAATGATCATAAACAAAGTAGATTTCATATTTCATAGAACTTGAGACCTTGGGCCTCACCTTATGTTCTAAGAGTTGACTATTTTTACTCTTTTTAGTCTGATTTAATCATTTCACTTTATTATTGAAAATTTTATTTATTATAATAATTTGAAATTACTTTTCACTTTCAACTTTACTTAATAATTAAACAAACAATTTTTCTAAACTAAGCCATGTTAAGGGTATAGTTAATATATCTTTTGTTTAGGAGGTGTGGGTGATGTAGGTGGATGAGTCAGTAGCGATGACGATGTGGAGGCTAACTAGGATGACACCCGAAAAAGTGAGGGGGGGTTTTTTCGTCGGCACCCGTCTCATGTGCAGAAAGCAACAAGCTGTGGGCCATCTCTTTCTATTGGGTGATGATATCTCGCAATGCACTTTCCAGCGAAGCTTTTGAAAAGATAAATCTTCCTGTCAAGCCAATAAAGCTGGGCAGCAATGGTGGGATTCCAAGGGTTCAAGATGATTATACAACTACCAAAAACATAATGGGGAAAAGTTGTATGTTGCTAAAAAGGGCAACAAAGAGGGAAAATATATGTGGTTCAAATATTACAACTTGAGAATCACATTCATACATAAATCATTGTAACATGATAATAATGACAATAAATGTGACCTCTTTTATCTCTAGTGTATATCTTTACTCTATAACGAACAATCCTTATATTGAAAACAAAAAGTGCTCTTGAAATTCTTCCAAAGACAAAAGGATAAACTTGAGTGTGGTGATGGGAGAAAGAAAAGTGACCGCTTGGGAGCTTAGGAATAGAGCACTTGATCCTGTTTTTTTATGCTAACCTTGCAACCTTAATTGTTTAATGCTCAAGAAGAATTACTTGAAAATTGGAACTGCAATATGTTGTCTCATAGTCGTAATATCTTGCAAATCTGGAAATGTTTTGCGGTGCTGGGCGATATTCTGCAATGCTGGAAGGTGTTCTGCAATGCTAGAGACACAGGAAATCCGAGAAAAAGAACAGTGATTTTCGGGTGGTTTCATCATGCATGGCAGTAGGTTGAAGATAGAATATTTTTAGAGGAAAAATGGGAGTTTTGGTAAGTGAGGAAGAAAGGTTGAAGTTGGGTGTGTATATCTGTTTTTGTGCTGCATGTGTCTATATATTCTAGAAAAATGAAAGGCAGATAATATATATATGCAGTGGCATTGTTGTGTTTTCTGGCTGATGACTTAGAGGTGTGCAGATAGGTTTGGGTGAGCTGTTGAATTTTTAGTGGCTCTGGGCATTGTTGGCAGCTTTATGACAATGGCAACATGAATTTCCCAATGGTTTCAGTGAAGTTTTGTTGGTTCTGGTGAAGAGCTGGAAATTGTATATTTCTAGCAATGCTTCTAGCCATACGAAATCCCATCTTTAGGAAGGTGCTTGAGTGCAGTCGGTAAAAACAATATATGCACAGGATTTGATAGGTTCCCGAAGCTCTACACGAGATTTTGGAAGATTCTGCAAGTAGATAGTAATATTTCACAACAGTTTCCAAGGTCATGGAACTTGTGTAACCACCCTTGCATTAAATGTGACTGCAAGTTACTGATGGTGACCAAGACAACATCTCTGGTTAATTTTTAGCGGGATTTCCAACCTTCAGTTAGCATCAAATGGTATGGTTTCAGGAATCAAATTTATTTCCATGTCTTCACCACCCAACCCTTTCTGGTGAAGTCGGCAACATCGCCAACACCAAACATCGCCAACACCAAACTTTGCCGACGCGAATACCTTGCGTCGCTAAACAGGTAACGTTCACCCGTCCATGCCTACCAAGCCACTACTCCCATAATTTATCCGAGTAGTTCTTATGAGCTTGGATTCATGGGTTTGTGTTTATCTACAGCAATAGCAAAGAACATCTGAATATATGTTCAAGTATTTAAGCATAAAAAACTTATAAATTTATGCAGCGAAGAAGGGAATGCCTTTGTGTATTAAAGGGGGCTATATGGATGAATGTTCGCTGCTCCTATTTGTTTGCTGGCCATGACGAGCGTTAGTATATTGCTGTTGTACATGGTTGGTGTTGCGCCAAAATTAGGAACAAGTGATATGGGTGTGTATTGCGATATCGTTGTCTTGATCAAAGTTTTGCTGGCCGACGATACCTGTTGACATGTAAGACATAAAAAATATATGTCATGAGTCAGGATTACCGGCAATTGGTAATTTTGTTCCTTTGTGTAGAAGAGTGACAATGTGCATGACCTCTGGCCATATTATGTACGTATTGCGGGGTCGGCTATGCATAGCTACCCCATAACCAGAGGGACAGCAGTGGCTAGCTTTGCTTATGGCTGGATCGTGAACTATGTGGAATCAGAAGAGCACTCCCACTAATTTGTCAGGCCACAAAGGGGTAAATCTCCTTAAACCAGACTCCGTAATAGCGATGAAAATGTATGGAGAAAGGTGGAGTTGTCTATATGGAAGGGGGACGCCAGCCGCATCCATGACCTCCAATACAACAAGGTGTGATACCACTGACAAACGTTGGCCTTTCTTGCTGCACCTGCACCGTCAGAGAGTGGTCTTGGTTGTTGTTGCCCACCGGGCACCGCACCACCATACACGGGCGACCACCAAGGAACCGTCAGTCGCTACTTGATGGATTTTTATCGTTAGAAGGTAGCCATCTCGTCTGATCGTAGGGTTGCAATTGTTGTCGGCCTCACGTTAATCGTACCGAGTTGCACTGACTCTTTGTTTGTCTCCGGGAGCCAATGAGATAGAATATGCAAAAATCCGACCCTTTGTCCGTTGCTAGGAGCCGGTGTAATAAAAGATGTGTAGCATGTTGCCCATTGCTGGAGGCTAGGTGAGATAGTAAATCTGGCCCTTTGTCCATTGATGGGAACCATATACAGAGATAGATGCTTGGCTCGTTGCCCATCGCAAGAAGTTATGCAGATTAGATTGTTGTCCTTTGACGGGAGTCATGTAGTAAAGTAGGTTTTTTATCCATTGTTGGGAGTGACAAGATACAACAGTGAGTATCGCTGTAGAGGACATGACCATCAAGAAATATCCAGCTATGTCGCCAAAATAGATCTAGCCATGTTTGGCCATGTATGTGAAAATAGATGCTGGAGTAGCTTACACTTTATGATGTCTTCAACGAAGTGAATGAGTGTCGTTTTTGGCAATGCTGATTCCATTGCAATAATTAGTAGAAAATATGAACTACACATTCGATGTGAGAAATGAGCGTTGTGAGCCTTTGTTGATGTGGATCCGCACACATCATTGGTTTTGCAACCATACAAATTCACCCTCAACACCTTTTTTTATAATTAATTTACGTGAAAAGTTTAAATAATAATTTTGACTTAATTAATTAAAATCGTTTATGTGTCATTTTTTTAAAATAAATATCAATTTTTACAAATTTTCATATAAATTAATTACAAAAAGTGTATTTATTGCTTCTTAACATGTATCTTAAAAATATAGGTTATACAAACCCTTAAACAAAAAAATCGTATTACATATTTCTATCTCTTTGAAGATAAGGATAAAATTGAAATATTAGCATTTAATATTTTATTAGAATCAAAAGTAAGACAACTAAACAAATCATCTTTATTTAAAAAATGAGACAACTAAATCAACACATGAAAAGTTAATAACAAACTTGTAATTTGTTTATAATGAACATTTACAATGTGTTTAGATTGGGGAAATTAGAGTGAAAGGAAAGCAAAATAAAGATAAAATACTTCATTTGCATATTTAAATTACCTATTATAATAAAAAGAGAAGAAAATAGAACCCTCTCCATTCTTTTGTTTTTTTTATCATTTCAATTGTAAGGGATTAATTTTACACATTTCATTTTTTTAATAATTAAAAAAAATGAATATATAAAAATATTTATTTATCAATTATTTTTTAATTAGTAAATTTTAAATATTTATTTTATTTTTCTTTAAATTATTTAATTTAATAAAAATATTATCCTTCCCCCTTACTTTGTCTATCCAAACAAATTTAACATTAATCATTTCCTTTCCT